TTAGAGTTTATGGGTTACAGCAGTTGGACTTGATGATCTTAAAGGTCTCTTCCAACCTTGATCCTATGACTCTGAGACAGGATGCCACCAAGGCTGGGGACTACCTCTGCGGGTGATGTGCCCAGCAGAGCATCCCTTCCTAGCCATGCACCCCAAGAGGAGCTGCCATGCCATGCCACACAACCACGGTGAGGGCTGATCCCACCCTGACCCACCCCCTGGGCCTGTGGTGCCCCTGCTCACCGTGTTGGGGGTCCAGCTCTCCCCGGCACACATCTTGTTGTCTGCCTGTTGCTGCGGGGCGAGCTCCTCCTCCTCCAGCAGCAGGTACAGCTCCTTCATGCTGTTCACCTGTGGGAAACACCGTGGCTGGGGTGATGAGGGGACCCACAGCCCATGGCCAGGTATGGGGGACACCCAGACAGCTCTGGGAATGCCCGACAGCATGGTCCCCCTTCCACAGCAACAGAGGTGGGAACTCCTCAGTCTTCAGTACCTCCAAAAAGTCCTCGCCCTCGCTGTGCACCATCTTGCCCTGACGCCAGCGCTTGAGGAACCACTTGAGCTTCATGAAGAGCAGGAGGAAGCTCTGCCTGAACTGCTGTGACTCCTGCACCAGCAGGTTCTTCTCCTGGCTCCAGAACTTCTGCTCCAAACGCCTCTGTAGGTTCAGGCTCTGCAGCTCGAACTCCCGTCGCAGCAGTGCTTTCTGGTGGTCCTCCTTCAGCTGTGGAGAGATGTGTGGGCTCCAGGACAGGGGCTGGAGGCAATGATGTGGTGCTTCTGCCCCAGGGTATGGGCTTAGCCTGGAGCCAACCCTGCATTTAACACCCCTGAGGAGCTGCAGTGTCCCCCAGTATGCTGGGGGTAAGTGTGCTGGGGACAGCAAGGCCACCGAGGCAGCACCATGGGAAGAAGCCCTACACAGCTGTATACCCATGTGCTCAGCCCCTGTGTCCCTTGAAGATGGGACATGCTGTGTGTGCTCCCAGGTGACACCCAAGTGGGTCATTTTGCCCCAGCCTTGGCAGTGTTCAAGGCCAGGCTGGAGGAAGCCTTGAGCAATCTGGTCTAGTGAGGAGGTGTCCCTGCTCATGGCAGGGGGGGTTGGGACTAGATGATTTCTAAGGTCCATTCCAACCCCTAAAATTCTATAATTCTGTGATTGGGCTGGGGCTGGAGGTGACACAGCCATGGGTATGAGGACACCTGTCTCCTCTAGGGATCACGGCTACTGCCTACTCACCTGGCAGATCTTCTGTGAGAAGTTGTCCACCTCGTCCTTCCTCAGCTGTCTCTCCTGTGAGAGCTGCTCCTGCAGTCCCCTCAGGCTCTCGTTGGCCTCTGACAGCACCAGCTGCAGCTCCTTCATCTGCAATGACCCATGGAGGGGTTGGTGGGCTGTGCCTGCCCACACCTCCTCGTGTCCTTCCCCAAGGGGGTTCCCCTTGTCCCCAGCTCTCAAGTGGGCCAACCCTGTCCCCCAGCCCTGTCCCCATCCCTGCTGGCTGAGGGGACACAGCTCCCTGCCCATGTCCTACCTCGGTGGCGTAGGAGTCGTTCTCCTCAGGCCGGCAGGTTTTGTAGCTCCGGGGATGTGTGGGGTCCGTGTCCTTGGCGTGGGGGATGCGGTAAGGGTCGGCGTCCCTAAAATCAGGCTGCTGCATGCGTGGGCAAGTTAATGAGAACAAACCAAAAGAGCGGGAAGAAAAAAAAGCCAGAAAACAAAACAATGGGTTTCCGAAACAGTAAAGAACTACAAGACAACAAAAAGGATGAGGAGGAGAAGGAGCTTCATCACCATGGCGGGAGACAATGCGGAAACCAAAAGGAAACACAGGATGAGGAGACACGTGGCCTGGATTGTTTGGGGAAAGGGGAAGAAAGAGAGAAAGAGGGAAAAAATGTGCAAACACCAGTTACGGTGCCATGCAGTGACTGGGGGAGACTGGGGAGACTGGACCTGGGGCTGGCGGGACCACATGCAGAAAAATAGGACTCTGAACAAGTGAGTGTGCTCCAGAAAGGGGCTTGTACCTCTGGCCCCAACCACCACTGACATCCCTGGCCCTGGCATGAACTGGGACCCCCGAGAGAAGAGGGTGGCAAGGGCATGAGCTGGTCTCTGCTGCTCCAAAGGTGTTCTTTGGATACAGATTTGCCCCGGAGCCTTTGCTCTCCAAATTACCCTACCTGCGTACCCCTGGGTGCTGAGGCTTCCTAAAAGTGGGGTTCCCACAATTTGGGCTGCTTTGAGGGCGTGCAGGCTGCTCTTCTCCCACCCAGCTCATCCTCGATAAGCAGAGAGCTTCCAAGATGGGATGTTGGGCTGAGCCAGGGAGAGCAGACCAAACATCAGCCCCTGCTAAGGTGGGATCACACCTGAGGCCGTAAGCAGGGCAGCCTCAGCATGAGCAGCCCGTGCTGGGATACACCAGGATGCTCACCACCTCCTGCCCTGGGCACACTCTGTTGGAGCAGAGTCCTACCTTGTCCCCAGTGCCACTGGCATGCAGTGAGGTGTTAGTTTGGATTTTGCTCTGGAGAGGCAGGAGGGAGGTTACACTGGAGATCAGGGTTTGCTCCATTAAAGCAGGAGGAAACGGGGCAGCAAATAAAGCGGCAGCTGCTGAGAGGGGTGTGGGGGGAAGCCATACCTGGCAGTCGGGGGG